CCCGCCCAGGGTCACAGCCATCAACCCACCTGACACACATGCTGGCAGCTCAGGGGTCTTGGTGCTCAGGAGCCAGGAAGGCATGTGGGGGCCCCTCAGGTGCTGGTGAGGCAGCCATGTGTGTCCTTGTCTCTGCAGACGGATCCCTTCTGGACGGCCAGCTCCTTGTCCCCCTCCGACCACAGGGAGGCCCAGAACCAGTCCATCTGCAGCCTCGCTGAGCTCCTGGCATTGGCCAAGGGCAATGCCACGCTGCTGCTCAACCTGCACGACCCTCCGCGGGACCATCCCTACCGAGCCAGCTTCCTCAACATCACCCTGGAGGCCTTGCTGCGCTCCGGCTTCCCCCAGCACCAGGTGAGGCCTGGCGCCCAGCCAGCCTCCGGGACTCAGCATTAACTCACAGGTCCCCTCTGCAGACCTCAGCTTACACACTTGTAAGATGGGGTACCATGCCCCTCGCCTCCCTGACAGGGTCATTGTGGGACAAGAGGGTAACAAGGAAGTCCCTTTTACTGCCAGGAAGCAGTGCCCACATCCTCGTGGGGTAATATCTGGAGATCTGAGGAATCTCACACCAACATATGACGCACACTAGATGCTGGTGGCCGCGTGCAGAGTAACTGACATTTCGTTATCAGTCATTGTGACCGGGGGCTAGAGCAGTGACGGCGAACCTATGACACGCGTGTCAGAGGTGACACGCGAACTCATTTTTTTGGTTGATTTTTCTTTGTTAAATGGCATTTAAATATATAAAATAAATATCAAAAACATAAGTCTTTGTTTTACTATGGTTGCAAATATCAAAAAATTTCTATATGTGACACGGCACCAGAGTTAAGTTAGGGTTTTGCAAAATGCTGACACGCCGAGCTCAAAAGGTTCGCCATCACGGTGCTGTCCTCTCCTCTGTTTTTACTCTTTTTACTTATGCTCTCCCCTCTGTCTGAAGTGCCATGTCCCCTGCATGTCACCAGACTGACTCTTGCTCCTTTAAAAAGACTCAGCTCAGCCCCTACCCTCATTCCATCCCATCCCAGGCTAGGAGACTTCCCTGGAATCCCGAGTCCCTGCCTGAGTCACCGTCCCAGTACTTAACCCTTTGACTGGACTTGGTGATTTCTCCCACTACCAGGGGTGGGCAAACTTTTTGACTCGAGGGCCACAATGGGTTCTTAAACTGGACCGGAGGGCCGGAACAAAAGCATGGATGGAGTGTTTGTGTGAACTAATATAAATTCAAAGTAAACATCATTAAAAAAAAGGGTACGGTTTTTTTTTTTTAGTTTTATT